ACATAAAGTTGATTGTAATTATTGTATCTTTGCAGAGTAGTGGCATTATAATCATTATGATTTAAAGGCAAAAGTAAGGCAGGGTCTCGAGGTACTATAAGCACATCTATTTTAGACTTGGAAGTGCTTTTGTAGCTGAAAGCTTGTCTCTTTTTCCCAACTTTAAAAACAGTTGGCTGAATAAGAGAAAGCTGTAAACTGAGATCTTCAGAAACCCATTTTTTTTGTCAATTAACAAATTACATCTGTCCCTTTTTTTTTTTTATTTTTCTTTATCCCTGCTTTGTATCTTGAAAAATTAATAGAGAAATATGTGATATGTTTTTAAAAATGCCAACCTATTCTATGTCTTTCCAAGCACTTACTGTTTTCTGCGTGAAGAACAGCTTGATCACTGAGCAGATTTGCAGAAAACTGCCAAATACATGGACATCATAAAGCTGTCATTCAGTACAAGAGGTACTGGTGGTGTGGGTTAACAGTAGAAGTAATCAGGAAATTCTTTGTAGCTGAGTTTGTCAATAATATTTTTATAAGAAACTTTTATTGAATCTGATTATTTCAGCAACAATTTTGTTAGGAAAAAATATCTTCCATCTGGAGTGGAATTTCTGATAAAAAAATGAGAGAAGAGATGAGATCAAGCCCTGAGCAGAAAATAGGCTTGGTCAGAGACATTCACTGGGAGATGCTAAAGGGCCTCTTCAGATATTTATACAAAGCAGAATCTCAGTCCCTTCTGTAAAAATATCTTGTTAGAGGTCCACCCAAGAACAGCGTATTGTCTGTTGACTAGAATCTCATTTGGGATGTATGAAGATGATAAATAAGAGCTTGAACCTGTATCTCCCATGCTGAAGCTTTTTTAACGCATCACTACAAACTCTACTAGGTTATCTCTTTTTCTCCCCATCCTTTCCATTACCCCATATTGTCTTGCTCACGGATATAAGAGTCTTCAATGTTCTTCCAGTGTAAAAAGAGAATTTTTTCAAGTTGTTGAGTTTTGCAGAATGTTACTATCCTTCCCACCCTGCTGTGCCACGTTTCTGTAACAGTGTCATATAATTGCATGTTATGTTTTCGCTTGTTGCTGGGAAGGAGTAGGTTCTTCTCTTCCTTTCTGCTGATTGTAGAGAGGCATGTCTTGCACATACTGATTTTTTTTTTTCCTTAGTATTCAAAAAGTTGGAAGTAATTTCCCTGGTTAAACTACTTAGGATTTAAATCGAGGAGATCAAGGAGAAATTAACTACGGAAGTGTTCAGTGCCTAGGTGCCTACCCTCTGTTGCACATCTCACAGTTCTAATTTAGGCATTTAAACTTCTTAAATAAACTATGGAATTAGCTATGTATCTGATTACAATAGTTATAAAGACAGTATCCACAGTGTGAATAGCCTAAATCAGACAACCAAAACCAAACAGGAAATGTGTGTTGGAATCTAAAACACAGTAGCTTGGTAGTAATTGATACTTGTTAGTATCAATGAAATTCCTTTTTCTGTCTGAGTATGTTAAAATGCACATCCCCCACTTTCTTTGGAATGGTAAGATGTTAAACATTTAAGTTAATTGGAAGTATTGCTATTCAGGTCTTATGTGTTCTACTAATTAGAGTAAGTAGCTGTGCTCCCTTTACTATTTTCTGTCAGGCCTACTGAATCTTTAAATATTTTATGAAAAAATGGAAGAGCTTCAACAGGGAGTGATGAAAAGAGCTGCCTGCAGGAAGGTTCCCAAACTCACCAGTATAGAATAGGTATGTTGCATTATCCCAAAGCTGTAACAACAGGAATGCTTCATGAACCAAATATAAGGAACTTCTGTATGCTTGGCTATAGTTGAACTATAGGTTGGAAACTCATCTAACCAATATGCCGAGGTGTGGGAAATGCAAATTTGAATCCTTTTAGGTGGAGGCGGAAATTGAGTCTCATTCTGCTACTTAGAGATGTACATTCAGTGCTGCTGGAGGAAAGGCAAACTGTCCCTGCATAGAGCCTGGTTAGCAAACCTTAAATTGCCCCATGGGAGTAATACAGGCAGAGGACCATCTAGTAAGAGGTTATGTTTGTACCTTGACCTTTTAGGTAGACCTGAAGAGGCTGAAATCTGTCAAGAGAAAACTACATTGGGCATAATCATTAAGGGACTTATTAGAGAGCTACACGCACAGAAATATTTTTTGTAATTTGCAGGAGCAGTTTTAATTTGTAGTGAGGCTTAAAGACCAATTTTCATTACATGAAAAAACAGGGAATCCTCAAGGTTCAAAGTAAGAGTGAAGCTTCAAGCAAAGTACAGGTTCAACATAACTGCTTTGACTTCAGTTACTTTACCTTTAATAAACTATTTAAGAGAACCATGATCAAACCTATGACGTAACCAAGTGCAGCAGTATTAAAAGTATTCTTGCTTGTTTATTTCTAGGTAAGAATTTCAACAGTAGTTTTCAAGTTTCACTGAGGTCTCTAGTCAGGTCCAAGAAATAGGATTCAGCATCAGCAGCTAGCATCTCATGAACTTGGACAGTATTTTGCCTTTCTGGGATAGTCACTGATTTAAAAGTGAAGTCTGAGAAATGGATGAGAAGCTAGACTTTGCCTGTTCCTTCACAGGGAAAAGCATGTTTTCTTTGAAATTATGTAGAAGATGAGCTGTTTTAACTGAAAAAGTAGTTTTAATTATGATGGCAACTAATAAAGGATGTTGTGAAAAAGCATAACAAATTTTTGGAAAGCAGAGAAAAGAACCCATTTTGCATACATCTTGCATGTTGGAAAGCAGTGGGTGTTGAAAGCATAGTATAATTTTCTCTGGCATATTCTCCAGTTACCTTGCACATAATGAAGTTTGTTCTCAGCTGAGCAGTTCAGAAAACAGTAATAGCAATTCATGATTTTGGTACTTACCCTTTCTCTCACCCCACCTCTTCATTTTTCTTGGGAAACTAAATTCAAGGAAGTTGCTGACCATTTGTGTGGGTTGTTCCAAACTCTCTTGTCCTTACTTAGCAGACTGATGAATACAAATATATAGTTTGTCACTAGTATTTTAAATTTTTTTTTCACATTGTGTTTCTGAACTATATAATACATTTTGGTTCTTTGACCCAAAAGTTGCATGGAAGCTTTTCTAGCTTTGGGGGAGAGAATTTTTGTGGGTCTGAGACACAATTCTTGTTTATGTAACTTGAAATGAAATTTTACAGCCAATCACATGGTAAAAATGTGGCAGTTTGGTTGTGATGATTTACTCCATTAATGCTTATAAATAACCCAAGTTTGATTCTGAGACAACGCTGAGTAGAGGAAGTAATTTCATTTAGTAAATTATGTGGTTGTTCAGAAGAAGCTCTTTTCTTGCCTGGGAGAAAGGAAGTGCTGAAGTGGCAGTATGTGGAGAGGCAGGTGGAAGCATGTGGGAATTTGTTAGCTGGAGGAACAACACGCAGCTGGGCTGTGGATAAGTAGGGCTTCTCAAACACAAATGAAATTAACTCGTGTGGAATTGTAAAGTTATATCTAGCGAGGTTACTGGTTAAGTTTAACGAAGTTTAAGGATATTCTTTCACTACTGTGGTTATAGTGTTACTGACTTTATTGGTGTTGTATAGGTACAGATGAGGCAGTGAGGTGAATTGTGAAGTGGTTGAAGGAAAGAAGTCAGAGTTGCAGTCAATGGGACAGAGTCTAGATTTTTGAAATCCGTTTTGTTCCCTTGAAGTATTTTTACTGCTAAGTACTGACTTGAAAATAAATTTGAGCTTCCATCAATATGTAAAAACAGTGTGCCTTTTAGAACAAGTAATTATCCCTTCACCTAATATACCTGTGTTATGTAGAATGTAAAATTAACATTTTCATTTGGCACCGTCTTTACATAATAGACCTTAAGAGTGTGTTTCCTGCATCAAGCTTGCTAATAGATTATAACTCTAACTAGTACTTTAATCCTAGTGAATAGTGGAAGTAGCTCTATTGCAGACACTGTTTTTTGCAGTGTAAAGGTACATTTTAGGGATCAGTCCATCTGACTTGTTCACATTAAGACTAAACTGTAAGCATTGTCTGCCACTCTTGAGGGAGTGGAGATGTATCACTTGGTGTGTTCCTCATCCTTGCTAATCAGATATTTGTTCCATGTGTAAGTACTTCTCCATTATTGTCTTAATAGTTCTGTCTTGCTGAGAAGAAAACAAATGTTTATCTAAATATTAAGTGAATACTTTTTTCTAGGCTAACTGTGCTTCTCCTATATGATCCCACTGTATTAACCCATGGTATCCACAGTCATGGAGACAGGATTTATTGTCTTGAACAACCACAAATTACTGCTGATCGTTTGATTGACTTTACGTTCGTCATTGTAATGTGGAAATTTCTATTCTGTACTAAAATCCTCATGCATTAAATTTTAAGATGTGACCCTTCTCCCCAGTCAGTGTATATCCAGTTTTCTATAGTTGTAGATCTTCCTGACATGCTGAAGTTTCTTTTGTAAGTCAATTGGGAAATCTGTGCTATGTATAGTGTTAGTATGGAAAACCTTCTTGTTAGATGATACATAGATTCTAATATTCATGTTGATTTGTCAAGCTAGTTATTCTAGTCTGGGATTTCTTACGCAGAATTCTTCTATAGGATAGTCAAATATTTGGAAAAAACAAATAGTTTAATCTTTTAGCTTACTGACAAATGCCTACTGACATTTTCAATTTGAAATAGTGACTTATGCATGTTGGTGGAAGTGGGAGAGTCACCTGAGTAAGAGGTTTCTAGGATTAAGAAACCAGTACCAAGCATAGAAGGAAGGACTTGAAATTTCTGTAGCATAACTCAGTTCCACCTCAGTTCTGCTTTGAAAAAACAGTGTTGGTCTGTTGGTGTTGAAGTTTCCTCTTGGTTGATAGTTCTGGAGGAATGATGTGGCTTATACTGTTCTCTTTATTTCTCCAGTGGACGGAATCCTCTGATTTTATTTATTTATTCTTTTAGCATATGCAGATGACTATCCAGGCTCTCCAAGATGAGCTTCGGATCCAGCGGGACCTGAACCAGCTGTTCCAGCAGGACAGCAGCACTAGAACCAGTGAGCCCTTGGTGGCAGAGCTAACAGAAGAAAACTTCCAACGACTTCATGCAGAGCATGAACGCCAGGCCAAGGAACTCTTCCTGCTACGTAAAACCCTAGAAGAGATGGAACTGCGTATTGAGACACAGAAACAAACCTTAAATGCACGTGATGAGTCCATCAAAAAGCTGTTGGAGATGCTGCAGAGTAAAGGTCTGTCAGCAAAAGCCACTGAGGAAGATCATGAGCGAACAAGACGGTTGGCTGAGGCAGAGATGCATGTGCACCACTTGGAGAGCCTTCTTGAACAGAAGGAAAAAGAAAACAACATGCTGAGAGAGGTAAGTGACCAAGCTCTGGCTTCATCTCCAATCTTAAGCTTTCCTGTGTCTCTTCTCCATTTCAGAATGGTAAGGAAAGAATCGTCCATCCAATCTATAAGGTGTATTTTACATTGCAGAGTTGACAGAATTTGTCCTTGTTTTAAAACTTCTTTATGGTTTACTTGTGTGTGGTTTTTGGGGTTTTGTGCTTAGGCCCCACTTTCCCCACAGCCTCCATATGAAGCTCCGGAGGTGAATTGTCACACAGACTGCAAAATTCAGTAGCTACCTGTATTCAGGAGAGAATACAGGAGTAATGGATGATTGCTCTACAGTTTCCATGGAAACAGTCGCCTTGCTGTGAAGGGTATTTGATAAAACTATTAGCTGCCCTGGATGTGCAGCGAAAAAAAAAAGATTACTTAAAGGAACACTGTTGCACACGGAGTAACCCCTTTCACCAGTCTCTCTGAAAATAGTAAGGAAAAACCATTGTTATATCTATAATACACCTTAGAGGACTACAATGGCAAACATTCTTCACTATTAATCATCCTAGACTAGTTGTAATAAAATATGGGCTACATATAAGTATCTTAGAAAAATAAATGAAAATAAATCAGTTGTTGTGTAGCCAGTTTCATTAAATTTCTTGATTTTGTTAAATGCGTTTTCTTCTTGTCAACCAGCCTCCTAGAGTATTTGAGTATTCACTTCTAAAAGGCTAGTAATTTAGTATGTGGTATGTAAATACAGAGGTATGTATGTATGCACACGCATGTATTCAACAATTATAAGAATTTCTGGAAAGATTATTCTACATATTTCTGTAGATTGAATGTATGAATTGATAGCTATACAAGTGTATGTGATACGTGTGTGTGAATCTAATGCCCTGTTTTGCACATGGTGTGTCTACTTTGTGGTTCATCATTATTTTGAAAGCCTGACACATACACAAGATTTGAGCTCCCTCTCTAAGGGGGAGAAGAAGCTTGAGAATCAAGGTCTAGCACAGAGCTTTCTGAGATGAGTGTTTGCAGTAAATAAATACTTCTTAATACCTCTTATTCATATATTTTCCATGGCCTGACCCATTGTACTTGTGCTCATGCAAGCATTTATATAAGAAACCTAGAGCCCACTGCATTTCTGAGCCAGATTTAGGCCAGATTTATTTTTTTAGAGCAGTAATCTCTTGAGTCTCTGGAGTGAAGATAATGTGATTCCAGAGTTTCTACACTACATTTTTTCCTTTATTTAGCAACCAATGATAATTCTGTTCCAAATCTTGTGCCTATTTCAGGAAGAGCCTCAAATGGCTTCCATTTAACTCCACTTTAAGTCCATCAACATAAATGAAAAGCTGTCAGGAGATGTGTAAATTTTTAGGAATGCAGTTATTTTTGTTTCTGCTACCGATTAGTAGATGTTGAAAGATAAGAATTCTTGTTTCTTTCACACATATCTGGGAATCATCAATCATTTAAATCATAGCTTTTATGTTAAAAGATTTCCTGAAAAAGGTAGAGTCCTTATGGGACTGGGTCACAGCAGGAAGGATTTAGTTAGTATCCATGTGTTGCCATGAGCTCTGAGCTAACTGAACTCAGGCTTGTCTGCATGAAACTCAGGTCTCATGCCTGGGGCTTCAGGAGGCTGAAGAAAACCAGGGTATGTTGCTGAGCTGTAGTTGACTGCATCTGACTTCCTGAGCACCAGGTTGCCCCATCAATGTTGTCCCATATTCCCAGCTGTTCAGAGAGAAGGGTTTTCTTGAACTTTTTGTGGCTTAACAGTTTAGTATCCTCCATAGATCTGCCATCCAAGTACATTTGTTCCCATGTAAACTTTTGCAGCTGTAGCATCATTTGATAAGTGGTTCTACAAGCCTGCTCTCCACTGCAGAAAGAACATTCCTCATTTCTTTTGAGTTTGAACCTGTCACCCAGTAACTTCATTGACAGCCTCTTGCACTGGAAGACACAGTGAACAGGTGATTGCTGTTGAGACTTAGTGCCACTCAGAATTTTAGATCTGTCATATCCCTTCTAAGTTTTCTCCTTTTCCAGGCAGAAAAGCCCAATGCTACTCATAATGCATATCTTTGATAATCTCCCAGAGCACTTTCTCAGTCTCCTGTATCCAGGTTATGAAATGGATTCTCCTGGAGATGGTGAGAGGTATCTCTATAAGTCATACGACTCCCTTGGGCTCTTCCTAATTGTCCCAGATTTTGGGAAATTCTAGCAATCCTTCTATACAAGTCTATAGGAAAGATCCTGTATCCAGCATTGCATAGATTTTGTAGCTCACTAATATAGATGATAGTCTCTCATTAACACAAAGTAATGAAAAATTTAATGTTTCATTAAATATCTGAACATAGACATGGATCTAGATGCCCTGACTTCAGCAGATCACAGTGTGGCTGCATCAAATTCCTCTACCCTGGAAAACAAGCTTAAACTTCATAGCCTATAAAATGATGGATGCTATTTTGAATACAATTTCTTAAGTCTTACTGAAAATTATTTATATTATTGCTGGTGTTCTAGACTTAACTTTCAGAAACCAGATTATTATCATACCAGCAAGAAATACTTGACGAAATCCACCAGCTGGACTACAGCTTCCAGAATAGCTCCCAAGTTAAATTAACTTCTACCTCATTGTTCCAGACTCACCTGTTGCAGAATTATCAGTGATGGCAGTGACAGCACATAACTCTAAAGATAAATAAGTCTGCTGTGCTCTATTAGACAACCTCTCTGCTCCCTGCCCCCAAAATGCTAGATGCACTGAGTAGAAATATGTTTCTCTCAGCTACACAGAGTAATAGACACACCAAATAGCAGTGCAGCTTATGGCAGAAGATGATGTGAGACCTGGTGGTCTATACACTTGGAATGCTTTGTTCAAACTATGCTTTGCAAGGACAGTCAAACATCATTACACCAACTTCGTTGAACCTTTCTCCTTTGAATGGTTTACAACTATCTGTTTTTAGGAATTTGTATCTGAAGAACAGAAATCCTACACATCTAGCATCACAGTCAAAAAAGAGGTAACTTCTTGATGACAACTTATTGATGACTTCGCTGATGACACTAAGCTGGAAGGAGTGGCTGACACACCAGAAGGCTGTGATGCCATTCAGAGAGACTTAGGCTGGAGAGTTGGGCGGGGAGAAACATGATGAAGTTCAACAAGGGGAAGTGAAGAGTTCTGCATTTGGGGAAGAGAAACACCATGTACTGGTACAGGTTGGGGGCTGACCTGCTGGAGAGCAGTGTAGGAGAAAGGGACCTGGGAGTCCTGGTAGACAGGAGGATGACCATGAGCCAGCAATGTGCCCTTGTGGCCAAGAAGGCCAATGGCATCCTGGGGTGTATTAGAAAGGGTGTGGTTAGTAGGTCAACAGAGGTTCTCCTCCCCCTCTATTCTGCATTGGTGAGGCCACATCTGGAGTATTGTGTCCAGTCCTGGGCCCCTCGGTTCAAGAAGGACAGGGATCTGCTTGAAAGAGTCCAGTGCAGAGCCACAAAGATGATTAAGGGAGTGGAACATCTCCCTTATGAGGAGAGACTGAGGGAGCTGGGTCTCTTTAGCTTGGAGAAAAGGAGACGGAGGGGTGACCTCATCAATGTTTACAAATATGTAAGGGGTGAGTGTCAGGGAGATGGAGTTAGGCTTTTCTCAATGATGACCAGTGATAGGACAAGGGGTAATGGGTGCAAATTGGAGCATAGGAGGTTCAAAGTGAATATCCGAAAAAAATTTTTTACTGTGAGAGTGACAGAGCACTGGAATAGGCTGCCCAGAGAGGTTGTGGAGTCTCCGTCACTGGAGACATTCAAAACCCACCTGGGTGCGTTCCTGTATGATGTGCTGTGGGTGACCCTGCTCTGGCAGGGGGGGTTGGACTAGATGATCTTTCGAGGTCCCTTCCAACCCCTATGATTCTATGATTCTTGAGAGTTCTTGGAGAAAAAAGTTTAGGCCAAATTTGTCATCTGCCTAGAAGAAAGGATAGAAACAAAACTATCTATATTTGTTCTACCAGAGGGAACAAAAAGAAGTTGTTCATTGAGTGTTATTGCCAGTTACTTGCCAGACAACTTTGAAAGTGTTATCCCATTTTCTTACTCCTTTACAAGGGATATCAGCTCAGATTTTACAACAGTAGTTAATCTGATGACCTGTTTGTCTCTGGGTTGCTGCTGGGCAGACATTCTCTGCAAGCCAAATACATCTTTGTTTACATCAGTGCTGTGGCATGTATTAATTGGAGTTTCTGGATTATACTGACACATCTGTGTTTCTCCTACTTAGCAAGAGCTACCCTTGGATGTCTTAAATCATAAGAACCAAGAAGGATGTATGAGGTGAAATTCCCAAATGTATGACCTTCTCTTCGTTGGCAAGTGTGCTTATTGTTATCTACCCAATACACCTATGAAGTCATCAATCCCATCACACCCTGTATAAAATATATTCAGAGTTGTGTTAATATACATGGCCCTAACCATTGGCTTTTTCTGAAAAGATGCAGTAGGAGTCATACACAGTGCTAGTTTCTTCTTCCTTCATGACAGTTTTGCCACATATTTATAATGAAGGATGTGTTTTAAGTCCTGTAAGTGACCTGTGACAGGCTGCATGTGGCTGTTGTCAGTACCTTCAGCAAGAGGTCAAAGTTAAGTTAAACTGTGGTCTTGAAGCTATAGCATTCTTCTGGGAAAAGGGAGTGGTTGGCTCAAACTTTGAGGCTAAGCAGGTATTGGGTTAAAGGTGTTCATTGAAATATCAATGTAATATAATGGCAACATAGCTCATAATAAAAAATTAAATAGTAATTTGATTTGATAGACAAAAATTAACTGATATACCCCTGAATGTTTAATCCAGACCTAGAACAGATGGCTGACTGCAGCCTTTTTATCTGGAAGCAGAAAGTAAGCTCATTATCTAGAATGTTCTTTAGGAGTCAGTTCTAGATTCAAGGTTTGCATGTT